GTGTGCTGAATGTAGATCCAAGTAAGATGTAGTCGCTGGCGGTTTTAATCTTTTCTCCATCTATTTTGATATGGCTTATAAGTCCAGCAGCTAAGATTTTTGTTTTCTTGACATTGAGATGCAATCCATATTGAAGGCTGTAGTCTTGGATCTTCTGCAGCAAGTCCTTTAAGTGACCGGAATATAGACTAGAAGTCACTAAATCAGAGTTGTTGCTACAGTTACTGTGTCCATTTCTGGTATCTGCTTAAGCAAAATCTTCCCCCATGTGTCTGCTTGGCACTTTGACTTCCAGAAAGTCTGGGAACTAGAGTTTTTCCTTTTCAATCATCACATACTCCTGACCTGGTAAGTGCTAATGAGTTCTCAGCACTTTGATTACTGTAGAGATAAGACACTTTTATCTTTGCCTCTAAGTGCTAGACTCCAGCTTAAAGTGCCAGTTGAAGTGTTAGGGTCTGGGACATGGCAGAATTTGGTTCAGACAGTAGAGGTCTTTGTGTAATTAATCCATTTCTTGAGCTCAGTTCTTAAGAAGGCAAGAGTCCAGTCTCCTGGAAGATTGTCTTCTTTTTCACTTGCCTGATAAGAGTGTTGGAAGAGCTCACCTGGTGGTCTGGTCATACAGCCAAAGCTTTGGCAAGAACTAAATAAGCCATTACTTTCAGGTGGTTTAAGTGGAAAATACTAAAACTTATGTCTTGTTGATGATACCTGTCCAGCACAGGTGGGCAAGGGATGAAGTTATCCAGGGCCTAAGGCTGGCCAAGTCTTCATCTTCTCACTTGCTACAAGATGTGTTCCTGGCAAGGCAGGAAAAAAAGGAGGTGGGAATCTTCACAATTGTTTCTGCCAGGAAGTGGGATGATGTTTGCACTCATGCTTCATTCACCTAAGCCAGTCACAGCATCCCACCTAATGTTACCTGGGCCAGGATGAAGGATGCTTCCCTCTCCAGAAGGGCTGGGACCAACCACAATGTTAAAGAACTCTAATTAACTGCAGCAAGCAGCTGAGAGATTAAAACTGGGTCCTTAATATCCTCCCTCATCTCTGTTTGGGATTAACTTGCATTCCTCCATTATCATTTTTCTTCTCCTCCAGGCATCCAGAATTCCAACTTGAAAGATACTAAAAACATTTTCACTTGGAGAAGGCTTATGAATCACTAGCACAGTCCCTAGAGGCAAAATTCTAATCATATTTTCCCTCAAACATATTGGTAGCTCTCAGTCTGTCATAATTTGTTGACTAGTATGCTCTAAGTTTAATTTTTGATTAAAAAAAATCTTGCCCATCCTTCTTGGGGTTTGATTTGCTGTTTCACCATCAAGTTGGAACTGACTTATAGTTGACCCTCCTGGGGGTTTTCAGAGGCAGGTAAATGCACCAGCAGAGATTGGCCGTCTTTCTCCCACAGAGCAGCTGGCGGAAGTGAATTCTATACTTTTGGGAGGTTGGCAGCACAAAAATCCCTCAGTTCCAGTTCAAGCCTAACCCTCACGCCTGGCCATCTGACCACCTTCTTCCCGGCAGGCAGCCGCTGGAGTCTGATAAGCCTCCAATTGCTGACACACACTCCCCACCCCGGATACGCCTCACGTGCCCTCTTACATTCTCCATGCTTATCTAAATGCCTCACTCCTCCTGGGTTGGGTGCTTTTTGAGAGCAGAAATGTGATTTCTACAGAATACTCACAGGTTGCTTTTATTTAGCAATTCTCAAGGGAAGAATCTGTCTCCCTCAGGGCCTTTTCTGTGGGGAGTACTATGTTTCAAGTGAGAAAAAGAATGGAAGGATGGAATGGACAAAAAAGAAAAATAATGAATAAACGATTAAAGATATATTAAGGCCAAGTCGCATCTTACAGGGAAGATAACTCACTGCCTTGAGGTTGGAGCTGACTCACAGACGGTCCTCCACTGGGATTCCAAGGCTCTACTTCACACCAGAAGACTTGCCATCTTTCTCCTGCGGGGCTGCAGGAGACGTAACAAGCTTATTCTCCTCCCCGGTTGTCACAGTCCTATTCTTGGTGACTCCACACGTCAAAGAGTAAATCACTGTTCCACAGAGTTTCTAATGGCTCGTTTTCCTGGAAGCAAATTGTCAGGATTTCTTCTGAGGAACCTTTGGGTGTACTTGAACCCCCAGTCTTTCTGTTAGCAACCATGTTACCTTTTTGCACTAAGCTGAGACTCATAAAACTATTCCAAACTTAAATATGGGCTCGTAGGACGGAAGGGACAGCATCAGAGGGGATGACTTAGGACAGTCTCTGATCACTCTGTCAACTGAGGTCATGGCCTGCCATGACCCTCATGCATATGTGCCTTAGGCTGGTCATTATTTTGTTCTTTGGTGTCAGGGTTAAACTTCACTAGGTCAAATAAGGTTTCTACTGTTCTGACTTGACAAAGAATGTATGTGAATAGTTCAGGGAAAAGGAGGAAAACAGGACACTAGGGTCTCTTAAGAGTCTTATCAGCACTACTGCCATCATAAGTGTATTTTCTCTATTAATATGTTCCAGGCTGAAGCCTGCTCTACGCCCTGATCCCTAAGCCTTGGAGGTATCAGCAGGCCAAGGCAGCAGGAAGAGGACACTGCATAAAGTGTCCCTCATCTGTCCCCTCCTCCAACAAGAGAGGCCTTGAAGAGATTCTCCTCTTTGTTGCGAGATGGGAACAGTGCAAACCTGGAATGCTCATATCTCCCAGCTCTCTCCTTGGGGAGGTCTTGAAGGGGACAGAAGAGAAGGAACGAGGGTGGGTCCGGGAAGCCTGCATCCAAGCTTTAGTGGAGACAGGCGACTCACAATCATACCTGTCTCTAAAATAAAGAAACTTCACCTCCCCCTGCTGCTTCCTTCCTTTCCCCTACAGCTGAAATAGAAGTGCAGAGCTGAGAAATGGTCCCTCTGCTGGACTTGGCTGGCACTCTGGGGCCATCACCAAAGAACGATGACCTCTTTTGACCTTGACTTTCTTTGTTCTTCATCTTGTGTGGAAGAGAAGTACGTAGACAGATGGAAGCGTACAGGTTGAGGGACCATCTCCACTCCAGGGTAGCAAGGAACAGTGATGCTATCAGCTTAGCCTAGGATAGTCAACCGACCTGGAGAAGCAGGAATCCTGCAGAATCAGACCAACAGGGTGCTGTCTGCAGATGCTGGCTTTTGGGCAGTACCAAGAGGCCTGCTCCCCCTCAATGTTGCCACCAGAACCCCCAAGAAAGAACCATCCCTCTCCCTCAAGCCGCCCATGAAATGATGCTCTGGAACCAGAGGTACCAAAGGATAAATGTGCTGTATTTTTTTTTTAAATGTGCTGTATTAGCATGAAGACTAATGACAAACGCATTGTAGCAATAAGCACATTGCAGATACACAGAACGTTCTCTATATAATCTGAACAGAGATATAAAATAAGTTATACTTGATTCTGTTTCTCATAACAATAGGAGCATAGCAGATAAAGTGACAGGTTCAGTGGCCTTGACAAAGCAAGCCAGGAAAGAACCACAAAGCAGGCATTAAGTATGGGAAGGACACTGCAGTCACCCAAAACCCTCAGGGAACAGGAGCTCGGATTCCTCCACGAAGGGTCAAGTTAGCCTTCTGAGAATTAGCACAAAGTCCCACCTGGTAAGGAGCGAGCACTTGGAATTGAACGACATGATTCACTCTGCTGAGTGGGAGGGAGCACAGACAGGCATGAACAGCATCCAGCAGGCCAGCCCACTCTCCGGCTGGCTCTGTTGGACTTCGGTGATTTTAGGAACGTGGGGCCCATGGCCAGAAGGCACGGTGTGCTTCTGTGATGTGACAGATGGCTGGCCTGATGGCCCACCTCATGCTGGATGGCTCTCCTCCCTCGCCAGCCTGCTCTGGAAGGCTAGGAGGGGGTCTGCAGGCTTGGCTTGTTCTCTAGGTCCTGTCACTCGGTTACAATGCTGGGACTCTGCACACCTTGTCACAGCACAGTGCGGAGTGGAAACCTGGGTTCTGTCCATTACATGTGGTCTCTGTGACTCTGAGTAGGTCATTCAAACTCAAGCTCCTCATTTGCAAAGCTGGGGCACTGATACATACTTTCTCTGGGGGAGGGAGGGATCCGTGGGATTGTGTTTATAAAATACCTACCACAGTGCCTGCTGCAGGGGTGGACTGCATAAATGCAAATTGATTACAAGCATCCACACATCACAGCCCAGGAGGAGCAAGCACGACTCTCTAAAAAAAAAAAAACCCATGAATTTCACTATCACCTTGACTGTCTATGAACAAAAACATCTTCCTCATTTTCTTTCCTCCTCAATACTTGCTTCATTCTGCCTTTTTTTGGTGCTCTTTGAAATAAAGAGTCAACAGAATTCAAAGTCAGCTTTGCCAAAGACGACACAAGCCTAGGAAAAGAACAGTTAGTAAGCTAATGTCCCCTCAGTTCTGGGACAGACTGTCCTAAAAGATGCCGCCTCACCTCTGTTCCCTGCAGCAGTCCCTGCCCCACTGCTCCCATCTCCTGGCTCCTGAGCAGATTTCATATAAGGGAGCCAAAGAGGAAAAGAAGTGCACCATAAAAAAAGGGTGAATTGCTTATTAAGTGAAAAGCCTTTTCCATCTGCTCAGAGTTTGGATTTGGAAGCATTGGGGAATTTGGGGGTGGGTGCGCCATCTGTGAGGAAGTCACCTGCCTCTGTGGAAGAAGCTATGTCTCTGGGTGATGGAAAATGGGAGGGAATGAGGGATGGAGACTTAAGCTTGAAACACAAGGTCCCTGGAGTGCTTCTGAGTTTCCACCAATCCTGAGAACGTGGAAGTATATCCGAACAAGAACCAGCCTAGAAACCTGGGCATCGGTGTGGTGTCCCCTCTCATCTACAGTGTCATTCTGTGTGTGAATGTGCGCGCGCACGCGTGTGTTCTTGCATGTGTGTATTCCATCACTTCTCCTACCGCCTCCTCCACCCACCTGCCCTGAACACCCTCCCACCTTCATCACTCAACCACTTTCCTCTTGGAAGGGGGCAGGAGGTGGGCAGGCAGCTCGTTGGGCAGCTCATGTCCCTCCAGCTTGACCTTGATGAGGTGGTTGGCCAGGGCGAACTCCTCATCATCCAGCATGCCGTCCTTGTCGATGTCGGCCAGCTTCCAGATCTTCCCCAGCACGCTGTTGGGCAGCTTGGAGCGTACCATCTCCTTCTTGGCATTGGCGCCTGTGATCTTGCCGTCCACTGGTGACAGGGTGTAGAAGATCTCGTCGTACATGGGTTTGTCCCTGGATACCACCCACTCGGCATCGTCGATGCCCTCCCCGGCCCCCTCCCCATAGCCATGCCCGAAGGGGCCATGCAGAGTGCCCTCAAACGCTCCTCCTTTCACCATCTGGACTGGCCGCTGGGTCTCCTCCTGGCGCACCAGGACCATGAGCTGGGCAATGTCATGGGCCAGCATGTCGTCCACCACTTCCAGCAGCTTGCTTTTCAGGGGCTGGAATTTGCTAAAGTCCTGGGCCTGCAGCTGGTCCTGGGAAGGAGAGAAAAAGACAGTGATGAAGAAGCACCATGGAAGGAGAATGTGTCTGTGTTGGCAATGGTGTCTTCTGCCAAGATGGGAATGTTCACCATTCAACGCAAGGAGTTTGGCTTAAAGTCTAAGAGATTTACATCGAGGGAGAGGAGGGTGGAGGAGATAAAAACTCATTGAGATGGTGGAATTTTCCCAGAAAAGAATGAGGTGCAAGAAAGTAGATTAGGAAGAAAGGAAATTTTAACAAATAATGCTTGGATCTGCTTTTTTTGGATCCCCTTAATGTTACTGGTGGTAAGCCAGTTACAGTGCATAGCACATTGGGCTGCTAACTGAAAGGTTATCAGTTTAAATCCACCACCCAGTTATCGCGTGGGAGAAAGACAGATCGCTTCCCTCGAGTCTCATTCTACAGCCTCAGAAGACTGACGGAGAGCCGCAGTGGGTTGGACTCGGCTGCACAGCACTAGGATTTAATGAGAAATTTCTCTTGAGGTTCATTTTGCCTTTTAAGCAGTACTTCCTGAACACTACACCCCTCTGGGACTGAGTCACGTGAGTCTATATCCTCGTCAGACAGTATCAGTGCTGTCAAGTCCATCTCATTCACTTCCCTGATGAGGTAGGAAATTACACACTCTGTCCCCATTTTTAGGAGGAAAAAGTAAGGCATCGGCAACTGAAATACCAAATCCGAACAGAAACCAAGGTCACCCCCCAAACCAGGGGCTGCTAATTAGTATGTGTCCCAGTTACCTGGAGAGAGTTTTCTCAATACTGCCTCTCTCCAGAGTGTTCAATACAATGGGCACAGGCTAGCATGTGAATTGAGAAAAGTTCTCTTTGCCTTTACAAGACTACCCACACACCAGATCCTTAAAAGGAGTATGTTCCACCTTGCAGGGCTTTGAGATTTTCAAAGGTACAAAGCTCTAAAACTCAACTCACTGTCGGTGAGCCGAAACTGACTCATAGCTGACGCGCCAATGGATTTCTGGAAGATGTAAATAACACACGAAGAGACTGCCCAACTTTTCCCCTCAGAGCAGCTAGTGGATTTGAACCATCTGCCTTTGGATTGGCATCACAACTCCTTAATCCATGAGGCTATCAGAGCCCCATGGTGCAAAGCTAGAACACCAAAATTCCCCTTGACTTAAACTGCCAAGCTGAGAGCTCCCTGCTCCTGCTCGGCTCTGCCCATGGAAATCCCAGGACACTGCAGAGTGAGATGCCAGAGCTCAGGGAACTTCACAGGCTGAGGGTCACTGCAGAAAAATTCAGAAAACACCCCAGCTACATTCCAAGAGAAAGTGTTAGGGAGGACAATTCTCACCTCCCTCCTAGGACCTGGCTGCAGCAGGGAGGTGGGTGGGGTGTGCAGGACAGGAGCCAACAATGCTTTTTTCTCTTGCCCATACGGCAGAACTTCTCAAGGCCCCTTCCACCTCTAATTCCTCTATGTCACACCCTGTCTGTTCATATCCAGGTATGCTAGGTGGGCACCCAAGTAAACAAACAGACACACAAACAATTCCAGTTGTAATCCAGTCGGTTCTGACCCATGGTTATGCTATGTGTGTCAGGGGAGAACTGTGCTGCACAGGCATGTAAATGACTGCTTTTCAGAAAGCAGGTCACCTGGTCTTTCTTCCGAGGCACCTCTGGTGAACTCAAGTCTCCCAACTTTCTCTTAGAGGCAACCATATTAACCATTTGTACCACCAAGAGCTCCCGAGCACGGGCCGAAGTATCTTCCAGGGAGCAAAGAGAATGCCCCCATCACCCTACAAACACACACCCTCACAGGACAAGCTTCACACTATTAGTTCTGTACACTTAAAAAAACACTGTAGGCACACACAGTACACTTAACAAATTCATTTGCCAGCTTCACTCTGGCAAACAGATCAGAAGATGAAATCATCTAGGTTGTGAAAAAGATTCTTCATCTTAGGAAAAAAAAAAGAGGGAGAACATGAAGTCCTTGTAAAATAACATCGTCCCAAATGTTTGCGTGCTGTTGTTAAGTGCTGTCAAGTTGACAGCTCATGGCAACCTGATGAACGATGGATCTGAACCCTGCCTTATGCCGTACCATCCTCATCCTCTCTGTCACACTTCAGCCCACTGTGATAGTCACTGTGATCATACATTTCTTTGAGGGTCTTCCTCTCTTTCACTGACCCTCCACCTTTCCAAGCATGATGTTCTTTTCCAAGGACTGGCTCTTCCTAACAACATGCACAAAGTATGTGAGAGGAAACTTCACCATTCTTGCCTACAAAGAGCACCCTGGTTTCAATTTCTCCAAGACAGACCTGTTTGTTCTCTTGGCAACACATGGGATAGTCAGCCTACAGATCAGGAAGTTCTTTCTCAAGAAGAAACTAGGAACTGAAGTGCCCCAAGCCACTGAGGATTGTTCAACATGCACTGTGTCAATGCAACCCTGAAACCTATGTTTACTCCTAGCAGGGGGTATACTAACAGACAAATAAATGAACGTCTAAGGCTCCGTCTAACATACTTTAGACATGCTGTAATGAGGGACAGGCCCTTGGAGAGGGACATCATGCTTGGGAGGGTGGAGGGACAGCACAGGAGGGGAAGACCCTCTATGAGGTGGATTGATTCAGTGACTGGGGTAATCGGGATGGGTGTGTCAGAGGCAGTGAGATTGGCACAGGACAGAGCGGAGTTTAGGGAGGTTGTATATAGGGTCGCTATGAGTCACAAGCAACTCGACGGCACATAACAACAACAACGTATTTCAATGTCTTTTTCTCTTTTTATCAGATAGGAAGCAAAAAAGAGCTGTGTAAGAGTATAGTAAAGCTCTGGAAACTCTAATCTGAGAAGCCCGACTCCCAACCTAAAAATCACTGACCAAAAATTACGCAGTATGAGCTTCACAGGGGACCGAGGTTGCACTGAGACTTTAAGGAACATACGGTGGGACATCACAAAGAATTTGCTGTTGGTGCCAGGTGCTGTGGAGTGACTACAACTTATAACGGCTCTATAGATTACAGTTCTGAACCTCCCCTCTCCTGCGTCAGCTTCACGACATCCAATACGTTCAAGTTCACGGCTGTAATTACTATGTCGATACATCTCTGTGAGGGTCTCCCTCTCTTGCACGACCCTCCGCCTGTCCCAGCATGATGTCTTTGTCCAAGGCCTGGCCTCTCTTAACAACATGGCCAAAAGGATGTGTTTTACCATCTTTGCCTCTAAGGAGCATGCTGGTTTTACTTCCTTCAGGACATCTTTATTTGTTCTTTTAGCAGTCCATACAATTTAGTATCACAATAAAATAAAAAAGGATAATAGCACTACTAACAACATCTATGGCAAAAATTGCTACTGTTTTTTGCCTTTCTGTTTACCTGATTTTTTTTCTGTTTAACTGATTTTTTTTAAAAAAAAGTATCTTGATATAGCTACAGTCACAGGAAGTTGCAAAGCCAGTGCCAGTGCAAAGCACTTCCTGTGTCAAACCATAATTATTGCTACGGCATATGAAGGGCTTCATCTATATCAGCCTCGATGCTAAGTGCCTCGTAGGTGTAATGAGACAGATGCCCACGACAACATATGAGGTAGGTGTTTTCACAGCTTCAGTTTACAGATGAAGAGAGTGAGTCTCTGGTCTAGTCTCTTGTTTAGACTTTGGAGACCACTCTAGAGTGCTTGACTTGTAGCCTATGTGCTCACTAGGAAAATGCTGAGACTCAGGCAAGTTAAAGGCCTTTGTACATTCAGTTTCTTCATTAGTAAAGAGACTATTTTTTAAAAATTATTTTATACTGGTTTGCTTACAAAGTTTGTATACATTGTGTTTCACACTATCCTTCATTTACAGACTTCTAAGAAAAATGCTTCCCTCAGAAGACTACATATGAAATGCTGTGATGACACTTGGTGCAAGATAGGAGCATCAGTACTTTCAAACTATGAGGAGCTTCCGGGTGGACTTCCACAGCTTTGTGGCTTGCATTTCCTTGACTTAAATCACTCCTAAGTGGGAATTTTGAGGTAAACTCAAATTCCACAGTCACGACACTTAAAGGTCTGTAGAATCTAAGCCAGGTGACTCACCCATGTCACAAGGAGATGGTGACTTCTTTCCCATGACAGGGGAGGGCTGTGACTGGAAGTACCAGAGCTCTGGACATCACCTAGCAGACATGCTCCGTCTCAGAGTATCAGGTGTCTATGTGTATCCAGAGACCCAGCTATGGCACCTACTAAACCAGAAAAGTTCAGAGAAAAGATCCAGGTCCTTCTAAGTTTCCCCTTGGGGAGACCAAAGGTTGAGTTCTCCATGCTCAGGCTACCCAACCTTGTCATGTGACACTGTGCCTTGTCTTAGACCCCAGGTCTTCCTTCCCTCATCCCTCATTACCTGCATCCTCTTCAGGTTGGGAAAGTCCCCAGGTGAGATCTGGTGCTCCCGTTCGATGCGGCCATAAATCTCAGCCAGGTTGTTCACCAGCTCCTTCTTCTTGTTGTCCTTTCCAAACACTGAGGGCATCTCCTTCTTCAGGGAGCTGATGACGTAGGCATGGACCTGAAAACCAGAGCCCACACAGAGCTTTGGATCAAGACCTGTGGCTCATCCTTTCTCTTTAGGATTGCTCTCTCTCCACCTCTTCCCATAAACCTGTTTCTCCAGCGCCTG